AATGTGGGGTGCTTTGGAATCATATAATGACAGAAATGGGATATTGATACTTGGACAGATGCCTTCATAAAGAGTTAATATTTCTTTTTTAAAAAACTAGACATCTGACATTTTATTCCTGTATTTTATGGAGATGCCCAAAAAAAAAGGCAAAGTATTATAAAGTTGAAAATCTTCATAAACCTCTATAATTTTATAGTAATTAGTTTCTCATGGAAAGGTCCAATATTTTATTCCTATGAAGCATTGATTAAGAAATAATTTTGAAAGCCTTACGTATAATTTTCATTAGTATTTTGCTCCTTATCATCCTTGTCATGTGTGCATTTTATGTCTCTTGAGTTTTTATTGTTGAACTTAAACATTAACTTGTAATATTTTTATTTTTAAGTAGAAGAGTATCTAGGTAATCAGAGTTCTTTTCTTTCTATACTAATAAAGTACATTGTCATGGGGAAAATAGAAGGCAAGGGTATTAAGTATGTTTGCAACCTTGAGTTATATATAAAAAGGTAGGACAAAAATGTAGTAGTAGTAGTAATAGTAATAGTAATAGTAATAGTAATAGTAATAATAATAATAATAATAATAATAATACAGTATGTTACTTGTATATATGTATGTGTAGTGTGCTGTAAGCCATAAAGAGGCTTAATCATTCTGTTTCAAGGAATATTAAATATCAGGCAGGACATATATATAGATTTTTTAGACAGAGACCTGGAAAGATCACAGAACCATTCACAATTAGGAAAAAAACTAAATGAAATGAATTTTCATGAAAAAGTAATAGTATGAGCTAGGTATTTGTGTTGTTTGTTAACATAAATGTATAATTTGAATTTGATGGTGAAAACATTCAAATTATCTGGCAATCATTCTGTTCTGCCCCCCAATGCAATGTTTCTTCAGATCTTGTAATCCTGCCTACCATTGATTGCCCAATTAATTTTAATGGTCATTACCATTTATTTCACAGGTACTTAAATCTTAAAATCCTCTGGTGATTGATCAAACCTTGAAGAAACCTGGTGCTAGGAGACTTCAGGGTGCTTTGCTTGTACTGGAATCCTGGGATTCTCCATTAAGATATGATCTCCAAGGCTCACAACTCTGTATCAGCTAAGATACATTTTTTTACTTTATTCCTTATATTCTTATGATATGTTATCATTTTGCCATCTTATCTCCCACTTCAATCAGCATATGTGTTAAAATCAAAGGACTATAAGTCAGTTCCTCTAGTTTGTGCTTATTGTAAAATAAATACTTCAGGGTAAAGTAGCCTAATGCTACTTAGGCTTTTGAGAGCTAAGGTGAAACAAGCAGGAAACTCATAGAAACATATGCCCAGAAAGACAGTAAACATGCACACCTTTTAGAGTGGAATATTAAGAGTGCATATTTAAAATCTTGTTCAAATCAGGGATTCCCTTCCAAACCATCCCCTTTAATTAGGTAATTGCCCTAAGCTGACTTGAATGTTGCAGTGAAGGAAAACAAACAAAGTAGATATGCTGCCTTGTTGACTCATAGAATTCTATGGTCTTGGCTTACTAGCAAGCATTAAAGACTTTGGATAGGAATCTGAGCATGCTAGCTTGAATTATGTTCAGTAATGCACCTAAACAACAGTTGCCTTTCAAAGCCCTTGGTACTGCTAGGAGACAACCTTGAAAACTTAGATGCTTCCAGTGGTCAGAGAGAATGGCAACCTAGATACATTCCAGTGTTAAATGGAACAACTCTCTAGTAGCCAGATTGATATTTTTCAGTAACTAGCCAGAGTATTTCCACCTTATGCATGTTTACTAAGAAGCAAATCTCAGTGACTTCTGGGGGTTTACTTCAAAGCAATGCACAGACTATAGTTACACAGACCTTATTAGATGTTTGAAAATTCCACCTGTGGATGAGAAGTGGGAATGTATGTTCTGAATGCATTGCCTCCACCTGGGTCAATCTGTGCTGACATGGAAATGGTATTACATGAAATTGTAGCTGCATAATTTTCATTTCTCCTTCTCCAAGCCATCTTTTTTTCTTAAAAAAAATCTCTGTGACAATTCTCTTATTGCCACCACAATTCCTGTGCCAATTTTATGTTTTTTCTACCTAGTCAACATTGAACATCATGTGGTCCCTGGATGGTACTGAGGATGCTTTTGGACTGATTTTCCTCCTTTATGCTTTTGGACTGATTTTCCTCCTTTATTTTTTGATGTATAATATTTTTTAAAATACACATATTATCTTGGCACAAATAATCCAATTTTGTGGCTTAGGAAATAAGCCACCCATTTGCCAAATTAATATCTGACAATTTCAAGAAGTAAGCCTGTAAGTATAATTATAATTAGCCTCAGGAAAAATATTCAAAGCAAAGTCATTTTATCACTGAATTCATTATTAGGCAGAATGGTGGAAAAGAGTTTGTATAGCTAAATTATTTTGTTCACCTCTTATGCTTCAATTAGCCAGTTATAAGTAGCAACTTATTCTCTGTGTTCTTGGATGACTGAAAAGTTTAAACAGTACCAGCAGCAACAATAACAACAATAGAAAAAAGAAAAAAAAGTAAATACACATAGATTATACAAGTCTTTATATGTGTATATACGTTTTACACAATGATTTCATTGAAGGAACACCATATTTTATTTAACTATCCATCCATAACCAAATGTAAATAACTCTTTCAATAAGTTGCAAGTAATAACAGGTCTTCAATTCATGGAGTAATCAGGACCATAATTTTATCTTTCTAAAGTTGAAGGAATATTCACATTTAGCAATAAGAGAATCCATTTCCATCATCCAGAGGTCAATTCCATGTAAAATAGATGTAGTTCAAAAGAGTATGGTTATCATAAAATATTAAACTCTGACTCAAAGTAAAATTAATGAATATAATTACAGCTTTCAACAGTATAACAATTTTAGGCTTTCACAAAGACTTGTTTTAATGAAGTGTTATTTTTATTGCATCTCCAACAACATTTACTCATTCCTTTTCTATGCAGCTGTGATCCAATAAGTCTGAAGTATTATTTTTGTTGAATAAGCCAAACTCTAAGATCTATTGGAATTTTTGATACAGACATTGACACAGTTTCCTATTGTTCAGACAAAATGAGGATCTCCAATTCCTTCTTCTATTCAGGTTTTAAAATTTGCATATCAAATTGAATTATTGGTAATGTATTTCTACAGAGTATTTTTTTTTCTTTCATAAGATTTGGTGATCAGTTCTAGTAATTTAGGTGTCTTTGAAGCTGAGAATGCCACTGTTTACATCAAGATGTTAATTCAATTTGCAGATACTGCCAGTTGGCAGCAATAGGCAAATAATATTTATCTTCTAACATAAGAGATGCTATAAATTCATCATTAACATACAATAATTGATCTAAAGTAAAATTCCTAACAACCATCCAAAATTTCCATATAACAGGTTTTTAACAGTTTTGACTAGATTATCACTTGCTTCAGTTTAACATTAAAAAAGGGATCAAAATGCCATTTTCCGGAAATAGTGTATCATAATAGTTGAATAAATGTAATAGTGATTGTGTGTGTGTGTGTATAAATAATCTTATATTTTGAATCCTGAACAGACCAATTAACTGAAGGTGATATGTGAGACTATTCCAAAAGACCCCAGGAAGGAGAATTTATACTGAGTGAAGCTATCCAAAATTTAGTACTAATCAAAAGATATGTGTAATTATATAATTCATGATTTGGGAAACTAAAGCCCCCACCTTTAATTGCCAACTGCACCTTTTTCAAAGATATATTTGGATCTGAAGAATCCCATAAAAATGTATGGAACAATCCATTGAATTTATGAATTGTGTAAGGTATATTCTGCCTTAAAGATTCCCACTATCAGTATCCAAAGAAACTATTTTATCTATCTTATTCACATTTAATTACATTTGAGAAATATCATATGGAATCAGAATACCTAAATAGTTAGAAAATTAAGTACATGTGTGAAAATTATTTATTGTATTAATAAACAAATATTTATCTAATGCATCAGTTCTGATTTAGCCCATTAACAGAGTATCCTTCAAGTCAGCCAAGCGCATCAGAGCTGGAAACAAAGTATGAAGTTCAGAAATAAACAAGAAATCTAATCATAATCAGGATATTATGATCTAGACCCATTTTATAAATCCTTTGAGAAACCCAAATTTAGTACCTCCAGGTATTCATTTGTATACATCCAATATGTATAGCACTTTGTTATGCATGTAGTACATTTGAGATGTGTTGTAGTTTCACTTACAGCAGTATACTAGAAAGATTTGAACAATACTCTCCACTTGACTTCTGTGAAAAATATCAAAATATATGAAGTGTCTGCCATACTTCACTGAGTAAAGTTAAGTCATGTTGTTTGCTCAGGACATTGCAAAGGGTAAACACACACACAAACATGACAGCCATAATTATCTACAGAATCTATGTTACCATCTTTAGGATATTTGTTTAGAAATTCCATTGAAATCAATAGTGTTTACTCCTAAGCAAGCAGGGTAAAATTTGGGCATCTGGCATACGGAAGTTTTGAATTTCCTAAACTAAAATGTCAAGGAAAGATCATAAGGATCATGCATTGTAACACAGTAAAAAAAAAAAAAAAATCTTATGTGGAGTTTTCCTTCTCCATGTATATCTCCCTCCTTGTTGCCGCTTATCAGACACCACATGGGCTCTGCAGTGGTTCTGGACGCGAGAGAGGGAGCAGAAGGGAGAGCGCGCGCGAGAGGCGACTTCTCTCTGCCGCAGATCTCTGCATCTTCACTTTCGTCTCACTTTTGGGCGCTGTCCATGGTTGCAGCAATTGTCTGCGTGACGTCAGCCCGCCTGAGCGTCTTTGCGATTGGTGGAAGAGCTCGGTCGGCCTGTGGAATCATGTAAACTCTTCCCCCCACCCCCTTCGCCACCCCCGCACATGCCCGGGCGCCCGAATCCACTTTGTTGCCTAAATAGGGAGAGGAGTCAACGGACAGCGCCGGTCTGTTGGGAGACGTAGCAGCCGCGGCGGCGGAAGAGGCAGAGGCCAAGGCAGCAGGACGGCTAGATGCAGGAGGCAGGAGCCGCCCTACAGAAGCAGTGCAGAGCTCTGGCATGGGACTTTGCCCTGGCTGAACAGATCCCGCAGGCCAACCGCACAACATGGAAGACTTTTTGCAGCGCACCAAAACAAAGCTGGTAAGTTCTGCAAAAAAAAAAAAAAGGGTATCTTGGAAAGACTTTCTTACTATGCCAGCTTGTTTTGGTACACTTTCCTGCACATTTTAAAAAAAGTTTTGGAAGACATCCAGATGAGCTTGTATGAATCAGCATTTTGGATAATAATATGAAATAGCTAACAATGACATCAGAATGCTTATGTTGTAAGTTGCAATTCCAGTGATTAATGGAATCCATGACTTCTCAAGTGTCTAATCCATTTTTCAAGAACCAGCTGAATCCTCACACACCCATTTAAAGAACTTGGTTTGTAGTTAGAAGGCATCCATACAGCTGGCAAGCTTCTCTGCCTATCGTTTTAGTCAACCACAGAAATTTCATCTTATGGTTTGTAAGGCAATTAAATCCGTGTTTACTCAGAAAAGAGTCCCACTGTAAGTATAGTCTTAGGAGAATGTGTACAGGATAATCTATTCAATATTCTACAACAGTGCATGGAGATCTTTTTGATTCTGAGGGTTCAAATTATGGAAGTAATAATAAAGGGAGGAGGAAATTCTATCAATGTCATATTATGAAAACATCAGAATATGAAAATAAATGCACCCCCATTGAAACCTCTTTAACTTAAAATAGCTATTAATATGAACCAGATGTAACTTTGGCACAATGTAGCTGTGCAAGCAGCCCAATATCATTAGACTGGTTCTGTAATATTTCTAAAGAAAGTTCAGTTGCGAATACATAGAGATACAAGGCCAGGTTCCATGAGCCTCTTCATTTTAGCAGTATCGCTAAAATTTAAAGTTATTTTTAAAACTTTTTAGCATGTAAGCATTAGTCATAATTCATGCCACTTGAAATAAAGTTACTGTTAGACTCCATGCAAATACATTAAAAATAAATATTTCTAAATAAGGCCATAAACAATATTGCATTAATCTTCAATGATATGTATTCAAAATGTAGCTGGATGGCATAATGTACCATCTCCACCCTTTGTATCTGTTTTTTTTAACCAAACATTTTATTTTTGTATTTTTAAAGTATCTTTAAATAGATGTCAGCTCTTTGTAAAGGGTCCTAGGTAAGATTCCTTAATAGAATAATATTTCACAGTGATTAATGTTATAATGTCAGCTTTTCTTTAAGTTTTCTTCAAAGCAAAATACAATAAAAGCTGATGACAAAGCATGCATTAATTGAGGACTTTCTTTTTAACTCTACACCCAGAGCAGAAGCACTCAAAATCTAAAATTAACATTATGTCATCATGGCGTGGCAAAAAGTAAACATTAAGAATGTTGAATTCTACTTTTTAAAGTTCTGCTTTTAAGATCTTATCCTGCTAATTTTCCCTGTGCTAGTTAATACCAAGTTTTCCCATGCTAGCCTTAGATGAGAATTGGAAGATGGCACAGTGCAGTATATCCGATGGTGACTTTGTTAGTTATATTAGTAAAAATAGCCTGAATGGGAAATTGGAGGGGTTTTCTTGCTATACCATGTGCATCTGTGCTTGCTGTACTCACATTCCATTGTACCACTCTGTGCATAGGTGAAATAATATGTATTTTATCATTTTTAAACATGGCTAATATGTACTATAAGCTTCTGTTTGGGAGAGCTCATTGACAACACAACCATTGTAGATTCTTAAGTAAGCAAATTGTGCTAAAGGGTAGATTCCAGACGAGTTTCTGAATTTGTTTGTTCAGCAAGAAGTCAAAAAGTGCAATGGAATCATAGAAGAGCATTTATTGATTGTAGCAAGAGCTTTCATAATTAATGGCATACTTTGTAAGATACAATAAGTTTCTTTTTCAGAGTAAAGGTAAAGATGCCCTTGAATCAAGCTCAACTCTTGGTGACTACATAGACAGATTTGTGGCAGTAGAACATAAATGGTTTGCAATTGTCTTTTTTTTAATGTTTTATAAGTTCCCAATCTGTTTTAGAATGCTGGAATTCCATGGTCGTGTTTCATCCGATACCAACTAGGCCATAGCCTGCTTACCTTCAGGGCCCAGGTAGTCAGCCAGGGAATCTTCTGTGTAGGATATCATATAGAACTTTAATAATTTTTTCTTAATAAAAAAGGCAAGACACATATGCAACATCACCTGATTATTATTGAACACTTTTCCTGATGTGACGCTTTCTTGGTGTGTTGGATTTCAAATCTGTTTCTCTTGTCAGCATGGTTTACTGGCAGGAGTTCTTAAGGATGACTATCTGGGGGACATCATGCTCTAGAAGAATAAAGTATAAGAGAAAAAAAACAGTCATCTAAAAAGAATGAGAGGATTGTCACACATATCTCTTTTCTGTTTGTTGAAATATTATGAATATAGTTATAGATTTTCTCATCATTACCATGATACAGCTCTGAGGCAAGCTAAAAGAATATAAAATTATAAATATTAATATAGTGAATAAAACCTAAAAATAGCCATATAAAATTCTACAAATGAAGAGTACAGACACTGGGAAATCACAGCATAGATGCTATCTGGCAAATCATGGTATGTACTGGTGCTGCACTGCTGACTTCTACTTTATAGAGAATAATTTGTTAAAAGTTTTGGGGTCCATAGAAACTGGATATGTAGTTGGGAACCTTCAGGATCCTGCAATTCTATCACTTCATAATGTATATTACATGATTAAAAATTTCCAGTAAAAAACTCCACATATTTATTTCTAACATGTACATTTTGTGTGTGGAAGTATGTATACACCTAAAATTTTTGCATTCAATTTTATGTCTTTTTATTTTTACATAAAAGAAATATTGGCCCAGCCAGTCAAAACACAGAAGTAATTTGTATTTTAGATGGAAGCTATTTAAAAATCATTATGTAACTTTTTCTAGTGGATCCTATTGATGTGTTTATCCTATGGGAGAATGCCATTATAAGGTCAGTTTAATAAGGTTATAGTGACTATCCCAGATAAAGAAAAGGACAATTGATAAAATACACAGGATATACCATAATCCTAAATAAACAGATTGCTCACATATCATAATCTAATATTCATGCTACCCAAATGGCAAGCACAAAAATATACTGCAACATTTAACTGGGCTTAAACACAGAAACTGGAAGTATGTTATTGCCATCCACTTACTACTAACTGATATAAAATTTTGTTTCTTGATGTATATTGGAAATAACCAGAAGATTGCATGTGGAACATGACTTTGCATATAAAATACCTAGCTGGGTACATATCAAAAATTGGACATGTTTGTAAGGATACACTTATTAATTTTTACTAGTAATCTTTGATTAAAACATGAGTGTGTGTGTATATATATATATATATATATATATATATATATACTT